CCACCAAAAACGGTCCTCACAACTGCGGCACTCACAACTGCATATGGTGGGGTCCTTCGCCAGGCTCATTGTTTGATAAATTTCGGCCTCCGGCGGCCCTTGCCAGGCCTCGCGACCGCCAAAAAACAATTCGGGACGGAAAGCCGGACCCGGGGAGCCAGACATCTGGGGGTCCATGCTGTCATCAAATCACGACGCCGGGAGCTTGTGGGAAGTAGCGGATGAGGGGCAGAGGCGTCCGCAGGGCAGACCAAGACGGTCGGGGGCGGATGCACGCGACGGCAGCCAGCACCAGCGAAGCAGCAGGAGGAGAAGGGGAGGATGGGTGGATGGATGGATGGACAGCGCCCTAGAAAGGTCGGAGGGTGACAACACCAAAACGTGGGCGGGGATCGACCCGAGCTGCTCGTGGGCAGGGGCTGTGGGAGCATCCGAAGAAAACCTGCAGAACCAAGGTTACAGAGACTTCAGGCTCAATTGAACCCAAGTCAACATCAGACCGCTCCAAAAGCAACGCTCTATCAAGAAAGGTTCTGACACGCATGCTGGGTCCAGGCCCGCGCCGAGACCTGCTCAGGACACCTAACCCCTGACGCGGTGACTGCGTGCAGATCTCAGTGAGCTTCACGGCTCCCCTTTGACTCCAGCCCCCACACTTTGAGTACAAAACCTGAACCAGCCTCGAACGTATCCCTATCCCGAAGATGGGCGAGCAAAAAGCGAGGACAATATTAGGGCCCGGCCCCCAGAAACTGAGGGAATCCTCAAGATCGGCATCGAGGTACGATGATATCAAACATCAGGATAGGGATATGTGTCAAACTTGTTAAAACCTGTGCTCACGGCACAGAGCCCCACTGGCACCCGAGGGCCTCGGCGCTTCGGAGGCCGAGCCCGACGCAGCGGCGAGGATGTGGCCGCGGGGCGCCCGCAGCAGCGGGAGGCGGGCCCCTGCACCCGTGCATCGGCCAGGCCTGCCCCTGTGCCATCGGCGATCCCGCGATGCGCGCTGGCGGAGGGAGGGGGCGCATCGCCCCCCACGAAAGACAAGCGAGCCACGAGTAAACACACACACAGGACCATCACCTGGTGCCCCCCTGCTCTGACATCTCAGCTGGCAAGTCTGGATCTCTGCGCGCTTCGACAGCGTCGGCACGCGTGCAGGTGCAGAAGCGATGATGTAAGGCGTCACGCTTCCAATCCCACTGGTGAACTCCTTCCATGAGGGATCCCGCTTCACAAGCAAGGAGTTCAGTCTAGCTGGCATCACGCGCGAACGCGAGAAGAAGTAGTTGCGGTTGACGAATATGCTGCTTGCCACGCGTGCACATGCAACCACGCACGAGATCAAATGTGGCTGGCATCCCTGTTAGATGCCCAAGACTCCTACCGAGCTTAGAGTCAGCCTCCCTCTGAAGACAGTCATTTACAAGATCAATAAGAAGGCGTGCGGGCCTTACTGGTATCTACAACGTTGCCCCAATGGTCAAACCACTGAATGCCCGAGACAACCATCAACCCGAAAGAGGACGCCTACTAATTCTCCAATCCCCAACCTCGCTAACCCGCGCCTGGTTCCACAACTGGAGGATGGAAACGGAATGAGGGCTCGGGAAGTTAAGCTGGAAATTCCAAAGCGTTCGACGCCACTGCAGCGCAGGAGCTACAGCAAGTAGAGTGACCCACTAAACGTATAAAACTAACTAGGCCGACGCACTGGTGCCGCCATGAGTTTGGGGCAACCGTCTAGACCGCCCGAGACTTGCGCAGCTTTGCCTGAGAACAAATCCAGAACCTCAGAAGCATACGATGACGCAGGAGCAACACCGGCGCGCAAAACATTGGCCAGGCCAAACTTGGCCTCTTTATTCGGGGCCCAAGCTTTGAAACGATGAAAGCTCGCACCCCGCATGCGTGAGCACTGCTTGACACGGGCACGCGCAGCAGATCGCTCAGCACCAGGCGCATCGTCAACACCCAAATGCCTCACTGAATCCTTCTGAACTGGTGGGGCAAGCCCGAGACCACAGACAGGGCCCGCTCCGGGGCCCCGCATCCAAAACAATACATCGTTTGGCGAGGACATCGTTTACAGCCGCTTGGCCCCACGCCGAGGGGCCGCCCCCGTTTTGCTTCCGCCCGTCTTCCGCGGAGGAAGAGAAACAAACCGCTCGATCTCTCGAGGACGAGGCCGTTCCTACAGAGTGCACTCCGCACGTACGATCCGGAACTTTGGCTTAGCGTGTCGCGGCGGCGGCCCCAGCGACACGCTATGCTTTGCGGGCGGGTAGGGTGTCACTCCGCTCCGCGGGCTGGGAAACAGGGAACAACTCGGAACATTTACGCTTGGGGACAGGGGCGGGGGGGGGGTGCTGGCGTGTCGCGCCGAAGCGTGGTGGGCTAGAATTGGCAGCGCAACACGCCAAGCCAACGATCCTGACCGTACAGTGGGGGGCACAGCAAAGTACAGCTAGCGCTACGCTTGGCCCTCTCCAGGGGCGTGATCCTGACCAGAACCTGAAGGCGCATCCGGCGGTGGCGACGAGGGCTGGGTACAGCGGCATCGGTACGAGAATTCTTTCTATGTTGGCGATTTCCTCTGTGCGTCTGTGCCTGCTGCAGTTTGTACTCGATGCGCCAATGCGTAATAGGAAATTCGCCGGCCCAACGGGCCAGAGGCGTGCTAAGATCTCCAGTAACTACTTAACAATATTTCTAACTCGCGCGCGCGGGGCGGCCCCTGGGGAGCCCCGGACGAAAAGTACCCCGGCCGATCCCCGGCTGATCCCCGGGCGATCCCCAGGGGGGAGGCTATTTTTCGCCACCCCTCACGAGGATCGTGGCCTCCGAGGGTGGGGCTGCCAACGACTACCCCCCTCCCGCCCCAAGGGGCTCCCAAGAGCCCCCCAAGAGGCCCCAGGGGAGCCCAATACGCCGCCAAGGAGCCCCAAGACGCTCCCAAGAAGCCCCCAAGAAGCCCCCAAGACGGCCCCAAGAGGCCCCAAATATCGCTCCAGGGCCAGCGGAATGAGCGAAGCGATTAAATAAGGGGGTCTGCAGAAAGGTTATGATGACTGTTCTTCCTATCCTCTGGAGAGCTGTATAAGCAGAAAGGTTGTGATGACTGTTCTTCCTATCCTCTGGAGAGCTGTATAAGCCGCCAGCGAGAAGCCTAGGCCGCAACAGGGCGGCGCTGCTGCCACCCGCTTGGGCCGTCTCCGGAGTCCACGACGCCGAAGCGGAGGTCGGACACGCCGGCCGGCCTCGAGACGCGCGCCCGCCACAGCGCGACGAAGAACTCCTGGCCGCCCCAGCGCCGATCATTCGCAACATGTGAACGTTTTCGTAGTCGGCGCTTCGACATTTCGGCGTAAGGGGGTGGGTCTGGCTCCGGACCTTTGCCTCCTGCGACTGTTTGCTTGAAACAACCGCCAAAAGCAGACAAGATCTACTTCATGGGGGGGAGGGAGTGCGAGGACCCGCGCCGATCGGCAAAACAATGAATAAGAAAACGATCACCATTCGGTCAGGAACTCTTGCTTAGCGTGCCGCTGCGGCGGCCCCAGAAACACCCCCTGTGCCCTGCGGGTGGACGGCGTGTCGCTCGGCTCCGCATGGCGGGAGGCCATAAAAGGCTCGCGACGTTGACGCCTGGGGGCTGGGACATGGATGCCGTGGTCGACGGCGGTCTGGAGGTGGGCCCAGCCCCGTCCGCCGTGGCGCCCCCGCCACGGAAAGGCCACCCCGCGGGACGCCGCCACGGGCGGCTTCGCGGTGGCGACTCCGCCACGGGCGCCGCCAGGGGTCGAGCGGCGAGAGGAGCGCTGGGCGGACGCTGACGAGGAGACCACCGCGTTGGGGCTCTGGCTCCCAGGCGCCGGCGGGCCCGGCCCTGGCGCGCGCCCAGCCCTGGCCTGCCGCCTCGGCCCCGGCCTGGCGCGAGCCCCAGCGAGGCGACGCGTCGCACCGGCCTCCAGCGCCGCAGGGGCGGCGGCCGCCGCCTCGGGAGGCGGAGACCGCCGCCCGCCGCAACGGCGCAGCTCGCGGATCCCGCGTGCGAGGCGCAGGCGGCGGCGCTGCGAGCGCGCGCCCTGGGCACGCTTGGCCCGGCGGCGGTCGCGGGGGCGGCCGCAGGGGGGCTGCGGGCCCTGGAATCGCAGGCGCGGTGCCCGGCGGGCCGGCGCGGCCGGCCCCCGACCACCACCTGCCTCCCGGGTGCTGCGCGGGCCCTGGCTGGCGCTGTGAGCGCGCGTGTGCGGGCACGCGCGCCCCGCCCCTCGCCTTCCCCTCCCGCCCCGTGCCCCCCCCCCCCAGCGCCCTCGTGTTTCGTCTGTCGTCCGTCGTCTTCGTCGTCGTGTCATGCCGGCTCTCTGTTCTCTGCCACTGGGCTCCGCTTCTTCGCCGGTGCGACAAAAACATCTCGCGCCGCAGCGGTGGGCCAGAACTGGCGGCGCGGCACGCGAACCCAAAGTTCCCGACTGTGTAGCCCCCAGCGCACACGCTGGCAGTGCGTGGGGCGCAATAGGCAGGCAGTGCGCGATAGGCCGAAGCGCCCCTGGCCCTGACTCTGGCAGCGCGCCAGCCCTCCCGAAGCAGCCGCAGCGCTCCCGCTGGGACCTTGGCCAATCGGCTTGCCACGAGGAGCACAGATAAGCCCAGACAACATATGCCAAGAGGGGGAGATGGGTGAAGACAAATCTGGTTAGAATCCGACCCCAGACTCCTCTCGAGGCCCCCAAGCACAAGTTTTCCCGAGCCGCGTCCAGCCGCGGCGAGGAGACCCCCCCCCCGACGGCCAACGATCGCTGTCTCAACTGGCCCTCCTCTGAAAGGCGGGAAGGAGGAGGAGGACGAACAGCACAGCGCAGCGAGCAGACGCCGACCGGGGTAAGGGCGACCTCCTCCGCAGAACCCCTCAGCACGTCGGCCCGCAGGTCGTCGGCGACGTCCTCGTCCTCGGAATCGTCCCTGTCCTCCTGGTCGTCATCGGAGACGTCCTCGTCCTCGTCAACCTCGTCAATCTTGTCAACCTCGGCAACCTCGTCGTCGTCGTCGTCGTCAACGTCGTTGTCGTCGGTGTCGTCGTCGACGTCCTCGTCCTCGTCTATCTCGGCAACCTCGTCGTCGTCGTCGTCGTCGTCGTCGTCGTCGTCGTCGTCGTCGTCGTCGTCGTCGTCTGTCGTCGTCTGTCGTCGTCGTCGTTGTCGTCGTCGTCGTCGTTGGTCGTCGTTGTCAACGGTCGTCGTCGTCAACGTCGTCGTCGTCGTCGTCGTCGTCGGCGTCAGTCGTAGTCCTCCGGGGAGGGCGACCCCCTCCGCCGCCCCCTCCGCGCGTCGGCCCGCGGCGGCAAACTTCGGCGCCACAGCGCCGAGCAGCGCGGCCGCGGCCGCGCCGACGAGCACCGAGGCGGGCTGCGCGTTGCCTCTTCGCCCGCCGCACTCCTCTCCGCCGCCCTTCTCTCCTCGATCCTCTTCGAGCCTAGGTGCTCCTCGATCCTCTTCGACCCTCTTCGATGCTCCTCCTCCTCCTGCACCTCCTCCTCCTCCTGCTCCTCCTCCTCCTCCTCCTCATCATCCGTTCCTCCTGCTCCTTTCCTCCTCCTCCTCCTCCTCCTCCTCCTCCTCCTCCTCCTCCTCCTCCTCCTCCTCTATTTCCTCCTTCTCCACCCCCGTCCTCCTCGTCCTCCTCCTCCTCCTCCACCTCCTCGTCTTTCGGCAATGCTTCAGTGCATCTGGCAAGGGTAGGTCAATCAGACCACACCTCCCCCCAAGCTCCAGGAAATTGAGGCTCATGAGCCAAAACACAAACATGCCGGACGCCAACCAAACTGCCCGACAACTTCCATACCAGGACGCTGCGCCCCCGGGCAATCAATCACGCCAACCACGTACAAAATCACAAGTTGACGGCGCCACGCCACGGAACAGCTGCTCCGACACCAGCTGCACTGGCGAGAAGACGAAGCCCCCGCACCATCTGATAAAGAACTGCCGCCGGCCATACCAGCACGCCACGCCATTGACACCAGAGGGCCGCAACTTCGTGCAGAATCGCATGCTGATGCGCTGGAGATAAGCAGCAACCCGCCATGGGCAAGCCCCAAATAGAACTCCACCGACACGCTGGGAACCCATGACAGCGTAGCTGAGCTGACAATTGGCCCCAGGATGCCACACACACACACACATCAGCCTGGGAATAAGTATCCCGCGGGCGCCGACAATGCGGCGGCCACATACAATAACAAAAGCAAGCATCCACCTCCATGTAATCCAAGAGCCAGGTACGCGCGAGCACCAGGAACGAAAATCCAGTACGTCATACATAGCGAACAGCCACCCATCCAACCACCAACGCACGGTCTGTCTCATGCTTTGGGGGGAAGATAATATTGGGTAAGGCGTGTCAGAAGATGACAATGAAAACAGGGTGCTCCAAGACCAGGCTGGAGGACCATGGTGAGGAGCAGAGTCCAGCCACGGCAAGTGCACCAGCGACACCTCTCCGTAGCGAATAAGCCCGGCGATCACCGAAGACGAGAAATGTAACCTCGACCTCGACGCTCAATTAAGCACAGACTTTGCTGGTTCAGCCTGGGAGCATCACGGAGCAGGTGGCTAGCTCGTTTGACCCTGACTGGCCTGAGCCGAGTTGGTACTGGAGCACTCCTCGTCATTTTCCTCCTCCCCCTCCTCCTCCTCCTCCTCCTCCTCCTCCTCCACCCCCCTCCTCCGCCCCCTTCGCCCCCTCTTCCTCCTCCGCGATCCTCGTCGTTATCCTCCTCCTTTTGGTGGCAAACTTTGAGCGAAACTCGCAGCGTCGTGCAACATTGCTCTTATGGGCGAGAGAGAAAAAAAAACAGAGAGAACCAAGTACAACTCAAAAAGACAAGGTGGGACAGAGTGCGGGGGTGTGAGAAAAGAGACGAAGCAAAGTGGAATAAAGGAGAGGCTCACAAGGGAGCTTAGCCATGATGCCCTTACGGAGTAGGCCCACGCAACGTAGACCCAACCCACTACCAACTCAACTACCCCAGCCCCTTCCCAGATAAAGGCCCTCACCGATTGACATCACGGTAGTTGTTAAGAAGGCCCTCGCCGAGGGATAATGTATGAATGTGTAGGCAGCGCATGCCCTGGCCGAGGGCAGACAGGGGTCTACAAAACCTCTGAAACGCGTGGTGCGCGCGATCACATACCCAACCACACAATCTCCATCCATCCTCTACCTCATGATGACCCAATGCCCTACACGTTCATCGAAGATGGCAGGCCCAATGTAACACCCCCCTGGCAACAATCAACGATGGACCGATGTAAGGATGCCCGTGTCTTGCGCGGCGCGTAATTCTACTTCACAGCCAGTCGGACCTAGGTAAAGATGCCCGTGATCGTGCCCGCCCTGAGGGTCAGGTTTAAACTCCCCACCGCTACCTTCACCTCCAATCTCCCCCTCAATGAATTCCAGTTCCTCCGTCTCCTCCTCCGAAGTGTCCACGCAACACTTGTATCGTAACGGCGCTGGCTGCTGGAAAGTACTCATCTTATCCACGCCCTCACCAAGGGGCAGTGCGGCAGCTTGATGATGAAGAGGGTCTAACCGAGGTTGTGCCCCTACATAGTGTGTCGCGCTAGACCTCTCGTCGATCTGCCGCCCTCACCACCACACCAATCCCCCACCTCTGCAATTCACAGTCGAGAGCCTGCCAAGAAGCGCAGGACAGAAAACATGGACAAACTCGATCATGGCAAGCTTCTATCCGACAGTGACGGAGATGCAGTCCTGGCGGCCTTAGTCCACTTCGCCCGCGACAGCCCCTACGAGCAGCAGTACCCTGCCCACGCTGTGTTCCTGCGAATTCAGGAGTCAGCCGCAGGCCTCGGCGTCGCAACATCGATCTTTAACTTTTGGGCATGCAACTCACAGCCCAGAGCCTGCCTGACTAGAGCCTACTTGCGACAGATGGCCTCTAGAGGCCGTGCGTGAGCTAATGTATACACTCAGGCTCCTCCGGATCCCCCCATGTATGTAAGTCTGCGTTACACGGTACACGGCAAATCGTGGTTCCTACTGTATATTTGCAAACTAACCATACGTAACGGTTTCCCCGAGAGCCTTCGTAGAGCCCCAATCCCTAGAGGCTCATTATAACGTTTCGAGTGCTCCCAAGACGTGTCTACCGAAACTGTCTTTGCTCAAACCTTTGCAGCGACACAGTGTCGCTGAGTGCGCCCGTGAGGCCCAGGATTGCGAGCCGGCCCGCAACCGAAAAGCAGCTCCTTTCCAGGACCAGCGCGCGATCAGCATCGCACTCCCCACTGCCCGATCCCATATACACCAATATCGAGGTACACAGCACGTCATCAGAGAAGATAGGCGAGAGATACACATCAGGATTGTTACCAGGGCAGTGGCTCTAGCGGGACCATTGCAGAATCACCCTCCAGCGCCACCTCCATTGCATGATCGACCGGCATCGGCAAGTTGAAACCACCGACTGATACTCTGATGGAGGCGCGAGAGTTGTGCAAGCGCCGGGAGGCTGCAGCGGACGACAGAGGCAGAGCGGGTCCAGCACCGGAGTCTGGACTGTGCGGCCCTGGACTGTGGCTAACACGATAAACGTGCGGCCCCGGAGTGTGTCCCTGGACTGTGGCAAAACTCTGCGGCCCCGAAGGGCCCCCGCCCCCCCGTCCAAACGATAAGTGAGCACTTCTCCGTGCGGATATCGGGATGCACGGTGACGTTTGCCCCGCCAGCGCCCGATCTGCTGGGGAAGGGGGGAACATAATGAATGTTCCCCCCGCTCCTGGGCAAAAATTGTCACGGGTACCTCTCTGGCTCCTCTCTCGTGCGGAGCGGGTGGCGAGGAACCGCCAGCCCGTAATGCTGAAACAATATGCCGATCAGCTGACTGCGCCGCAACGAGCGTTGGATGAGGTGGGAAAAGTGAGGATAATGATGCTGCTGCTGCTGATGAGGAGGAGGAGGAGGAGGAGGAGGACGAGGATGATGATGATGATGATGATGATCATCATCAGCATCATCATGCTCATGTTGATACTGGTGATGATGATGATGATGATGATGATGATGATGATGATGATGATGGTGATGATGATGATGATTATGATGATGATGATGATGATGATGATGATGATGATGATGATGATGATGATGATGATGATGATGATGATGATGATGATGGTGGTGGTGGTGGTGGTGGTGATGGTGATGGTGATGATGATGCTGCTGCTGATGATGATGACCAGGATAATGAGAAGGATGGAGACAATGCGGCGCTGGAAAGGAAACTGCGATGTGTTAATTCCGCTCGTAGACAGGAACGTCCGCGAACCTATTCTCCGCGATTTCCCTCCCCTCCACCTCAAGTTCTACTTATCCTCTTCTTCCTCCTCCTCCTCCTCCTCCTCCTCCTCCTCCTCCTCCCCCTCGCCGTCGCCGAGCGAGGATCGAGGATCGATGAGGTTCGGAGGCTCGACATGATTCGAGGCTCCAACTCCAGGCGCAGGCTTCTGGAGGGCACACACCTGCCCGCCGACGCCGATCGCAGAGGAAGACAGACACGCACATAAGCATACGCTTTCGGAGCTCCGTGCGGATTTCGTCGATCGGCGCTGGACCACCCTCCCTGTCGCGCGGAGCGCGCCAGTGGTGGCGCCAGAGGCACTCCAGATCCAAGAGATCCGCGCGCGTCGTCGTCGTCGTCCTCTCCTCGTCGTCGTCGGTCGTCGTCGTTGTCGTCGTCGTCGTCGTCGTGGTCGTCCTCGTCCTCGTCGTGGTCGTCGACGTCGATGCCTTTGTCGTCGTCGCTGTCTTCCTCGTCGTTGTCGTCGTCGTCGTCGACGTCATCCTCCTCGTGGTCCTCGTCCTCGTCCTCATCGTCGTCGTCATCCTCGTCGTCCTCGTTGTCGTCGTCGTCGTCGTCGTCCTCGTCCTCGTAGTCGTCGGCGGCGCCCCGCGGGCCACGGAGCTGGTGAGCCAGGCCGACCCCGCCGAAGACCCCCTCGAGGCCCCGCGCGGAGGCCCTCCCGCGAGGCACGCAGCGACCGCGGAGGAGCCGCGGCTCTCTGAGAGGCGGGTCCGCCCCTCCCTGATCCCTCTCTCCCTCGGGCCTCCCTCGTCCCTCCCTCCCCCTGCTCCGCCTCCTCCTGCTCGGCCTCCATCCCTACCTGCTCCCCGGCCCTCAATAGCTATGCTCCCCACCTCCGCCTCCTCTTCCTCATCCTTCCTCGTCCCTCCTCCTTCCTCCTCCTCCTTCTTCCTTCCTCCTCCTTCCTCCTCCTCCTCCTCTTTCCTCCTCCTCCTCCTTGCTCCTTTCCCTCCTCCTCCTCCGACATCGAAGCCGACTCCGACCTCGACGCCGACGACGCCCCGACGGCGGCGCCGACGCCGACGACGACGACGCTGACGAAGACGCCGCCAACGACGACAACGAAGCCGACGGAGACGCCGACGCGAAGCACGCAGACGACGCCGACGGCAACGGCGACAGCAACGACGCCGCGCGCCGACGGCGACGCCGCCGCCGACGGCCCCCCAAGGCCCAAAGGGCGCGCGCGCGCGGCCTGCCACGCTCTCGGCGCAGTGCTCCCGCAGCGCGGCGGTCGCGGCGGCCGCCACCGCCCCGCCGCCCGGCAGGCCCTCCGGCGGCCGCTGCCGCCGACGCGGGCGCCACCGACGCCGCCGCCGACGACGCCACCGTCGCTCGCCGCCGCCACCCACGCCGACGCCGTGGCCACTGAAACCGCGGCCGCCGTTGTCGCTGGCGCGGCAATCGCCGAAGATGCCGACGACGACGCCGCGGCCGCCGACGCCGGGGCCGTCGACGCCGCCACTTCCACACACAGTCGCGCCGACGCCGAGACGCCGACGACGTCTCCGATACCGCCGCCGCCGACGCCACCTTCGTCGCTGCCCTTCCCTCGCTGCCACGGCTGGATTCGCTTCGAGATCCTAGTTAGAACGTGCCCTTGGAGAAGTCTGCGGAGTGCTGGTATTGGTATCTTCCTGTTCCCCCAATGGCCACCAAAAG